CATATATATATATATATATACATACATATATATATATATATATGCTCCTTATCCAAGCCTTTTGGATCTATAAACGACCTATGTATAGAATGCATAAGTAAGAAGTTGCAAGGCTTCGTGGAAGATCTGATATTTGAGGACTTCACGAAAGACTCGACTTTGTGACTTTCCAACTTGATACAACCAATATAGCTGATGCACAATTTCTACTGATGGCAAATCAGAAACTAGGTTATCAGGAGATACCATAAAACCTTAAAAATGACTCTCTTGGAGGTGGAGTGGCCTGTTTATGCACATCTTGGAAGCAACCTTCTGCAACTGCATAACCAAGAATAGAATCTAAACAAAGATGTGGTGGCTGACTTTACAATCCAATGTCTAACTTCAGAATGCAAAGACATGAAAAGTGAAAAGAAAGTCCAAAGATCCAATGAAATATAAAGCAGTTTTTCCATTCTCCACACACGAAAAGGGTGATAAGGAAATCTATTCTTGGAAGTGTGATATTTTATGGAGACTCTTTTAAGAATTAAGGCAAGAAATGGGCTTGAATTTGGGTATATGGTTCTTTGGGAGGATAAATCTACCAGGCAACTTGTAGAATACATCCATGATGCCACCCTATGATTGATTACTGCAGCGATCTGACTTAACTGTTTGTTCGTATTGTTCAAGATATATATCAGACTGCTGCTACAACTACTCATTTTCAAAATATCACATATACGTGCATCTGTTTCAGGCTAGTCCTATGTTCAAGGACCGCAGAAAACTGGCAAGTCTGGCTGATCCAAGGCTACAAGGTCGATATCCCATGCGTGGTCTCTATCAAGCTCTTGCAGTGGCATCCATGTGCATCCAAGAAGAAGCTGCCTCCCGTCCCGCTATTGCAGATGTGGTCACTGCTCTGTCTTACTTGGCATCCCAAGCATATGATCCCGGTGCATCTCCCACAAATAACAATAGACCTGGTGGTGAAAGAAGAAATAAGAATGCTGATGAGGGAAGTGGAAGAAAACCATCTAACAATAACGGAGAGTCTGACCATAATTCGCAAATGAATTGTGAAAACACTTTGAAGGAGAAAGCTGCAAACTTGAGAAGGGACTTTGACCGGGAACGAGCTTTGGCAGAGGCCAAGATGTGGGGGAGGAACTGGCTGGAGAAGACACAAGCTAAAGACAATGCAGAGGGAAATTGATGATGTTGCGAGTGCGATTGGACAGGGATTCGCTCCCCATTTTTGTGTATAAAAAGAGTTGAAGTTGCGGATCATCATGTCCTTCCCTGGAACGCATCTTTCGTTCCTTTATCATTTGCAAGAAGTGATGGAAAATCTCGACTTACTACTGTTTGCGGCAAGTAGGTGTTGTGAGCGGTGAGCAGGGATCTGGCATGCTTGTTGTAAAATGTCAAGAAGAGAACATTTTATGAGGTAGAAGGAAACTATGTATCATCCTGTCTTCCCGTTATGAACTCTCGGTTGCAGTAATATGGGTTGGTATCTAATTCAACCTCAGATGTGGAATAGATGAGGACCACTTCCATTCTTTGTCAATTTATTCTTCAATTTTACAAGGATGTCAATGGAATCCTCTTATTGTAGCCTCTTCAGATTTTTTGCTTTGATGAGTTATTAATCAGCATCTGGTGCCTGATCTGTTTGCTACAAGTCTTCCTTCATTATGAAAAATATATCTAGTAGTGTTCAAAATGGTGACTCATGGAATGCCAAGAGGTGATCTTAAATGTGCCAAACACCTCTAGTGAGGGCCCATATGTTTTCGTGCAAGGCCAAAATTTAATTCAATTGCTGACATCTTCCAAATTTCAGGAACAGTAATTGGAGTGTTCATGCAAGGCCATGATGGGTGGTATGAAGGTTGGATTGTGCTAATGGTGTTTGTCTGTGGTGGAGATTCTCAATCACCATCAGCTTCCCCTATGAATGCATACAAATATGTTCAAGAACATTGAGTATCAGTAGACAACATATCCATAGGGAAGAAAATAGAGCTACCCACCAGGGAGTAAACTTTGGTACCAATTTTTGGGACAAGTATTTTATGAAAGGGGGATTTAATGTTCTCGTCTCTGATATAGATGGCAAATTTTGTACTCGTTCTCTTTTGAAATAGATTCTGGTTGCATTTTGTGGAATAAAAAAGTATTTTATCGATACAATAAAATAAACCAAATGTGTACAATTGCAACGCAGTCATTTAGAACATCTTGAGATGAAGAAAAAAGCAGTCTTCATCACATCCACTCCTACAACTATTTACTAGATCTCTTCGCACCAATAACTATTTTTTCTGATGAGGATGGAAGAGTAGTGTCCGAGTTGTCTACACCAACTACGTCATCAATCTTTGGAAAACAAAATGGCTATTTAAATATAGGGAGAGAGATTTGACTAGGAAGAAAAATAAAGAAACCACCCTTTTTTTATTATTGACAAGTATTGATAATTCATTAAAAATTATTAAAGTATTATTTTACTATTTTATAACTTTAATATTATTAATTTTATCTCTTTTTTCACTCTCAAAAATTTTTATTTTATCCTCGTTATCAATACTATTCTTGTTAACTAACGTCTCTTGTCACCCCTTTAATACCTCTCTTTTTATTGTCGACATCATCAACACCCACACGATGACCCATCGACATTGGCCATCTTTTTTATCGCTATCGTCAACGTCAATATCGCTCGATGCTGTTTGACATCACTCATTGCCCCTTAAATTTTTTTAAAATGAGACGATAAATACTAAAAATTATTAAAGTATTATTTTACTATTTTATAACTTTAATATTATTTATTTTATCTCTTTTTTCACTCTCAAAAATTTTTATTTTATCCTCGTTATCAATACTATTCTTGTTAACCAACATCTGTCACCCCCCCCCCCCCCCTACCATCTCT